TGCAGAATGATATGCCTTGTAATTGAGTGCGCATTTAGGATATGGTCCTTATTACACATTAGGGATATGTCTAGCATGTTTGGAAATCAGTTTTTTTTTTTTTTTAATTTTTTTATTAAGGAATGTGAGTACACCACAGATGTTGCTAATAATATAATGGAATTGTTGGGACTCTTATTACCTTTTGATGGGGGCAACATCGTTGATTACTGTTGCTAAAGAAGAGGAAAGAATTGTGCTTTGAATGTGTTTCTATAGAGCCTGATTTTAGAACATGAAGCTCAAATTATTAGCATTGCAAGAATCACAATTATTTTTGAATGGCAACGGATCGGATTCGGGTCGGATGTGGCTAAATTCAAATCCGACCTGTTTAGTAAACGGACCCTGGACTCAGACCAAAATTCGAGTCCGACTCCGAAAAATTCGAGGCCGAATGCGATCCGATTCGTAATTTTCGGATCCGAATCTGGTCCGTTTATACAGACCTCCGAAATAATCCAAATATATATATTTTTTTTTCGTAATGTCATATACTTATAATTGCTTGCATTGTCACACCAGGTAAAGTTTAAACATAACATATTTAAATTATGATCTAAGTTACATTACAAAATTTTGTTACAAAACAAGCAAATAATTGTCCCAAGTTATAAAGCATATGCTCATACTTTGGATTCGGACTCGGCATCGGACTCCGTCGGACTTTGCGTAGGGTCCAAGTCCGATCCGCCTCCTATTCGGATTCGGATCCGGACTAATTTTAAATGGGTTCGGATTGGATTTTTTTTCTTTGGATCGAATCGGATTCGAAGCTCGGATTTAATTGTCATCCCTTTTATATTAAGAATTCTGATAAAAGTACAGCCGATCTTGGGAGTTCTGGTAGTTTTATCATAAGCTAGTAGTGACCTGTTAAAGTTAGGTTAGCTAAACTGACCAGAAGCATTTGGTCACACTAGGTGTTAGTATCACTCATGTAAAAACTAGTAGAGGTGTCAATTCAGGCACTCGGGTCAGATCTATTTCAATGTTCAGTCATGCTAAATTATTGTGTCCATACAAGTAGAAATCTGGATCGGGTTATTTGGGTTAGAGCTGGTTGGGGCGGTCGGTAAAGTTTATGACACCTCTAGGAAATGTAAAAGGTAAAGCAAAAGACGTAGAAAGTCAATGAGTTTTGTAACAGATTATTATACAGTTTATACATGGTATAAAAAGGTAAATTTTCATATTTTGCTCAACTTTTATTTATTTATTTATTTTTTTAAAAGAATTTTTTAATTGATTTTAAGTAACTACTACATGATTTGACCTAATGGCTCTATTCATATTGTCTGATCCAAGAATTTATATTTTAAGTTCAGTAAGTTTAACTTTGAACTTTTCCATTTTGGCTCTAAAGCCCTTGATGATATCCATATATATATTAAAGGAAAAAAAAAAAAAAAATCTCTGAAGACATTAGCAGTGTAGATATTTAAATTTAATAATCAAAGAATTTTTGGGTGATTAGGATATATATTTTTGTTAATTTTCTTAACTCAAATATTAACTAACTACTGAATGTACCTAGGTTTGAAGGAGTACTATATCGATGTGGGTAAAATTGATAACCATTTGTTTTTCTTTAAAGAAGGGGGGAGGGAGTTTTGGTGCTGGCCAGGTAGGCTTTAGTCTATATTGGCTGTCCACTTTGAGGAATGGATTAAGGTAGTCTTTTTCAGCGTTTTTGACTATTTAGATTGCTTTTATATTATGTTTGTGAAATCCGTATACTTATTTCATAATGCATTTTCGTGTATCACTTACATACTAATGCATTTGTAGGGATATAAATTTTCATTGGAGAAAAGCTGGAAAGGTGGCTCCTGGGCATAGTCGCGCCGAATTTCTTAGGAGGTCTCCAAAAACTAGTCCTCAAGGGAAGGTGTGGAAGTCTCCCAATGCTGCACCTAACTGGAGGAACACTCCTGTTAGAGGTAAAGAATTCTCTCGAGTTCAAATTCTTTTAGATTATGATTACCAAAATTAGTGTTATTTTATTTGGTTCAAATAATGTGACTCGTGTGATAGTTTACAAATTATTAGCCTCTTATTTTCTTATGCTTTGAACTTTCGGCTGTCACAGGTTTGACATCACCTTCTACTAAAAGGAGGGTCAATGCTCAGAAGCATTACTATTCAAGCTTCCACAGGGTGCCTAAACAAAAGATGTCCAAGGAGGAGTGGGAACAGTTTACACGGGAATCAACTCGGCAAGCTATGGCTGAATTGACCTCTAGTCCAGAATTTAGTGAATGGATGATTGAGAATGCAGATCGAATACATATTCGTGCTGATGATAGCTCAGATGAAGAAATCGGTAGTGGTTCAGATTCCACAGATGAGACAGTTGTTGATAATGGCCCTCGGATGGGTTTATTCAAATGGTAGTAATCTGTTCGTGATTTAGGGATGTATAGTCTAGGTAGTTTTGAATTTATTAGCCAGAACAATATTGAGAGAGGGATTTGTCGCTACAGGTTGGTGTCAATTTTGTTGTTCAGTACAATTTGTAGGTGCCTTGCTGGGAAAAAAATTGTAGAGGTGCATAGGTTAGGACATTAGGAGTAGAGATGTCAATGTCGTGAATTTATATAGTTTGGATGTAATTTTACTCTAATTGACAATATACATGCTACGATTAATATTGATGTACATTATGTTTAATTGCTAATAGTATGTTACACCCTTATATAATACTTATTCTGTTGTGTTCTATTTTTGTTCTTGGATTTTATTTTATTTTTCCTAAAATCATTGTCAATTGTAATTCAAGTGCACTGTGAAATGTTTTTTTTTTTGGAAAAATTGTCAAAAATAAAACAACCTTTGAGACGTCTTCCAAAAATAATATGACCTTTTAATTATTCCAAAATAAAATGACCTTTGTCATACATCTGCTCAAAATAGAACAAAAAACTGGTAACCTGTTTAAAAGGTCAGACCTAAACACGTGGCGTTCGGGGATTGACTAAGATTTTTATTATTGTTTTCTTTTTAAAAAACTGATTTTAAATTACCTAAAAAAACAATTAAATTACCAAAAAGAAAATAAAATTAAAAAAAAATATATAATTCTCCTCCCCCTCTTCCTTCCCGTACTCATCTCCATTGAGGTGAAATTTATCCTCCATTAAGGTAGAAATTTCCCCTACCTCAAATTCTAGTTGAAGTCGTAAAACCCCCACTTTTTCAATCAATTAAGCTTTTCAATCAACTAAAACTGATCAACACCCCAATTAATTGTCATCTATGATGCACGGAAACGACAAATTTAACTCACGTACCGTCTCTGAAACGTTTCGGAAACGTATGACGTTTCGAAACGCGTTTCGAAACGGTTCTGTAAGTTTCCTAAATATTGGATACGTCTCTTATAATTGGGAAGTTTGGAAACCCTTGGAAAACTTGATTCTCACTATAAATAGGCGTTTCCCCGGCAATTAAACCCTTAATTTTACATAATACGAGCAGTACTGCAGCAATTACATAGTTCTCGTTTCCATAGTTTCCGTTTCCATAGTTGCCGACCCTTGTTTGCCGCCGTCACCACCTTGTTGGAACAACGTCGAGGTAATTACCAATTACCACCGGCCGATTTCTGTATTTTTGTTTTAATTTTGACTTTGATATGCACTACCGATCGATTTTTATATTTTTGGTTTTAGTTTTCAACCTTTTGATTTCGATCGGTACTCCATGAATCATGATTGCCTTGATAGTTAATTGAATGGTTTTTGTTTGGTAGTGATATTGATATTAGTACTACTTTTTTATTTAATTTTTTAATGTATCTTTTCAACTTTTCAAGCAATTCAATTATGTATATGCTGGAGTAGTGGAGTAGAATACACGTGTTTTGCAATTTATGTGCTTTATTGATTATTGAGAATATAATTAATTGAGTAATTATATATATTTTTCATATCAAGCAAGAGAAGTTTATTTAAGCTTATTGTCGTTGATTATCATGGCTAATCTTGAGTCTGAAACAAGTCAAACAACAAATAATCCCTCTGAGAAAATCATTGATGAAAATAGTCCCCTTTGGAAATATGTAACTAAGGTTGAGAAGGCTGGGGGGAAAGGTGGAAATACTTTGTGGATTTGTGATTTATGTGGTAGTAATTATCAAGGAACATACACTAGAGTTAGGAGTCATTTGCTTGGTATTAAGGGAAAAGGAATTGCAAAATGTCCTAATGTTAATTACAATCGATTGCGTGAGATGGAGATGTTGGAGGAAGAAGTTCAAAGAAAAAAAGATAATCAAGCACCTAATAATGTTCCTTTACCACCAGGAGGCTCAGATTCTGTTGTTCCTACCACATCAAAGAAAAGAAAGGAAAATCCAATCTCCAAATTATATGACGTTACTGCAAGAAAAACTTTAGATTCTCTGATTGCTAGAATGTTCTTTACTGCTGGTTTGCCTTTTAATTTAGCAAGAAATCCCTCTCGATCTTATCGTTGTGAAATTTCATAATTTTTCTTTGAACTTGCTTCCTGGAGCACCACCAATTACTTTTGTATCCCAGTTCTCATTGAACTTGGGGAATGTCCCATATTTGGATATACTACGTAAAAAGATTATACACAGATTTCCCATGAAATGTTAGATTCGGAAGGAAAATACAGAGAATGCAAGTATACAACCAGGCACACAAAATATACACAGCTTTCCCAAGAAATGCACAACTGCGTCTACACTTCTCTAGTTCTAAATAATGACAGAATGTCCACTTGTTTCAGGTCGTAGCACATTATCCATCCTTACAATATACATGATAGATCTTACATCTTAGTCCTCAACTCTGCAACTGTGTGCAAATAATTTGATTGCGGGTTCAGTTGTAGAAAAAAATTGAACAATTGTTATAGACTTATAGTACTAGTCATATCTACATCCTCAATTAAGAATAACTTTTCTTACTGCAAGCCTTTTCTATCTCAGTATAGCAGAGTCAAGCCAGAATGTATGAAGGTTCCTGCAGACAAACACTTTCATCCAACTGTTATTGTGCAACACTTTATCTGTTACGATACAATTCATGACCTCGAGATTGTGCTCCATCTCCTGAAAGGAACACATGAGTTCTTTCCCCACTTGATATCCAACTACATCCAGGAACCTTTCTCATCCTGTTTGATCTCATCTCCTTACGTAGAAGTCTCTCTTCTCCATACTGGCCAGCTGCGGCAAGCATGTTGCAGCGAACAATGTGAGCTGCTGCATTTGTAGGATCTAGCTCAAGGAGTCGCTGGAAATTACGGCCAGTAACAATGGCATTTCCCTCATTAACTCCACATACACCTAGCAATGCACCCCAAACAGCAACGCCTTGCTCAGGAGGTAAACTCAACACAAATTGTTCAGCTTCCTCAACTTTCCCAGCACGTCCTAGGAGGTTGATCATACATATATAGTGTTCCACATCAGGTTGAATTCCATAATCCTCTTTCATGGCCCTGTAGAAAAGCCAACCTTCTTTCATCAATCCTGTGTGGCTGCATGCTGACAAAACGCCTAGGAAAGTAACAGAATTTGGTTTTATCTTTTCTTTTATCATGTTATCAAATAGTGATAAAGCTTCACATGCTAGTCCATGAAACGAGAAACTCATAATCATGGAATTCCAAGAAACTAAATCATGGCAAGCCATGCTTGAGAACATTTGGTATGCATCACAAACTTGACCACATTTTCCATACATTGAGATCAGCGAATTTCCAAGGATTAAGTCCACATTCATTTTTGTTTTAATCAATAAGCAATGCAACAGCCTGCCTTGATCCAGGTGAGCTGCTGCACCAGCTGCTCCAAGAAGAGCGGAGTACGTAGACTGTATAGGTATTACACCTTCTATCCACATTTCTGAGAATAAACACATAGCTTCTAGAAACAACTCATTTTGGACACACCCGGATATCATTACAGTCCACGCAATGTCATCCTTGTCAGTCATGTTATTAAACAGTTCATACGCCTTGGCTACTTGTCCAGCATCAAAATACCCGCTGATCATGGAAGTCACTGAAATTTTATCATGGATAGGCATAATCTTAAAGATATACTCAGCCTTGTCCAATTTTCCAATCTGAATGTAACCACTAATCAAAGCATTACAGGATTGTGTTGTCCAATACTTTTTGTTCTCAAAGATAGAGTGAGCATACTCCATCAAGCCATATCTAGAATACATATAGATCAGACTATTTAAAAGCCGTCCACTATGATCATGGTATTCATAACTGTTGGTGATCATTAAAGCATGTAGCTGCATACCAAGTCGAGGGTAACCAATCCCAGCACAGGCATAAGCTAGTGAAATACAGGTCTCTTCGTGCAGTTTCACACCAACCCTCCTCATTTCAAGAGCTAGCAATATAGCTTCTTCATAGTAAGAATTCCAAGAAAATCCACCAACCATAGCTGTCCAAGAAACAACATTCTTTCCAGGCATTCGACGAAACAAATCATAGGCAATCCACACTTCTCCAGCCCTGCAATGCCCAGATATCAATGTAGTCCATGTAATTACATTTACTTCCTTATCCACCATTTGATCAAATAACACCCTGGCTTTCTCCATCATACCATTCTCTGCATACCCATTAATCATTGCATTCCAAGAAACGGAATCCCGAATTGGCATTGCCTCAAACATCAATTTTCCCCCCTCCAAATCCCCATTCTTTACCAACCCAACAATCATTGAATTCCAACTAACAACATTCCTCTCCGGCATCGCCACGAAAAGTGCCTTTCCTTCCTCAACCATCCCAGAGCTCATCAACCCACAAAGCAATGATGTCCATGACACTACATTCTTCACCGGCATCGCCTCGAAAAACTTACAAGCCTCACTAATCCTACCACTCTGCACATACCCAGAAAGCATAGCATTCCAAGTAACAACATTTCTCTCTGGCATGATATCAAACAAAGTCCGAGCCTCATCAAGAAGACCCCTTTTAGAGAATTTAGTGAGCAGAGACGTCCATGTAACAACTGAAGACTGATTTCTTCTGTGGGGCATTTCGTCGAGCAGTTGGCGTGCAAGCTGTAATTTTCCATTAACCAAACAACCGAAAAGCTGGGATTCATTAATGCTGAAGTTTGATCGTTGAAATGTGGAAAACCCAGGTTGAAAATCAAATTGGGTGACACAAAAAGTACGATGGATTAATTTAGTTGGAGTTTTTGAAAGAGAAATAGCCAAGTTTCTGGCAAAGTGAATCGCGGGCATCGGCTAGATTCTGTCTTCAATTAAAATGGGTCTTTTTGCTTGAGACAAATTCTTAAATGAACCTGGTTCACACTAATTTATCAGGTACCACTAACATTAGAAAAAGTGTGGTTGTTTTATTAATAAAAAAAAGGGTCACTATAATTTAAAAAAATCACTATATTGAAATAAAAATCATTTTGATAATATATAGGTCTAAGTGGTTATTTTTGTAATGAAATATTTTATATACTGATCAATATGAATAATAAAGGCCACTATGTTAAAATTAGGGTAATAGCGTCGTATTTCAAGTTCACAGTATTATTAAACGTTGTATTAGTTTTAATAAAGGTTACTAGGTTAAAAATAAGGTTACTATGTTAAAAATAATGTTCACTATGTTCAATATAAAGTCAGTTGCGTGTGTATAGACCTGGGGTCCACAATAATATTATTGTGGACCAGGTCCTCGCAAGTCTTTTTGTCATGTTGATAACCAATCTAATAATACAATATACGTACAACTCCAATTGATCTTACGGGGCGTTTGGTAGGACTACTGTATGAGGGATGAGATTGAGTGGAATAAGAAGGCGGATTAATAGATAGGATAAGGATAAAATAGTGTATTTCATTGTTTGGTATGGGTTGGAAACAAATAAAAATACAAAATTATCCTTACTATCCTTTCTTCACTCTTTTCTTCTTTTTATTTCATTAAGGGTAGAAATGTCTTTTACCCATCAAATATAATCTCAATTCCTTATACCACCCCCTTGGTTATTAATTTGGAGAAATAACTCCCTTTTTTATCCTTCTCTTAACCCCGGCCCCCTCATAATCCCTATCCCTCTAAACAAACAAAGGACATGTCAAATCCCTCCTCTTTTATCCTATCCCCCTCACTTTATCCCTCCAAACAAACACCCTCTTAATGTTATGAAATGGGACTTTTGAGACTTTGAATTAACTATGCAAGTTGAGAATTGAGAAAACAATTAAAATGAACAAAATAAATATTACCTCCCAAGATTTATGGTGGTTCGCTCAAAATAAGCTACGACCACTTTAATGGAGAGAGATAGAATCTTTATTTCCAAAATCAACGACTTAAGGTCAAGTACGATCCCTAAACTAATGTATCCGTAGCGTTTTAGTCCCTCAACTATTAAGTGGAGTTAAGGTAAAATACAGTCATTAAACTTTGGTATTTGTAGCATTTTAGTCCCTCAACTTTCAAACGAGGCAAAATGGTCCCTCAACCACCCAAGCCTCACTATTTCTGGTGGAGGAAAAGCTTAATTAGCAAAGTTTAGGGACTTCCAAGCCAATTAAGCGAAGTTTAGGGACCATTTAATATGACGTGTCATTTATTTTTATTTTTTTAAGCAAAAGTTTAAGGACTTGTTAGATCACAAGTCAATTAATTAAATTAAATATAAACTAAATTAAAGTTTAGATTATAGAGTGAGGTTTTTTTTTATTATTTATTTTTTACCTATTAAATATTTATAAAGTTAATTTGATAATCATGATATATTTGTTATTTTTTATCATATCTTTTCTTCTTACCCTTTTTTTCATAATTAAATTTTTTACAATATATTTCAACTAAACTCATGAACCACACATCCTCAAATCCTAAGTCCTTACCCCTTACATATTTCACTCACCAAAAAATTAAATAAAAAAAATATAATGTGTTTTCAAAGTGAGTGAGTAAGACAAAACCCAAACTTTGTAATATAAAACTAAATAAAAAAAATACCATCCCACTTTATTTCTTTCAAGCTGACAATTTATTTTCATGTGTTTATTTTCAAGAAGGGGTTTTCAATTTTTTTGGGTTTTTGTATGTCAATTTTGAAGGTTTTTTTTTTTTTAATCCCTATGTGTGTATGTTCTAAATGATTTTGAGTTCTTTTGGGTATTTTGGGTGACAATTTTTATATATTTTTTTTATTTTTTAAATCTTGTGTTAATTTTTAGGAGAAAATAATATTTGCCCTAGATTATTAACTAAATGTACCGTGTTTAGCTGAATGAGTAACAATTAAAAAGCAATTTTTCTTTCATAAACAAATTTTGTATTATAGCTAGATTTTAGGGAGAGTTCTTAACATATTTTAGTGAGAGAAAGTAAATTGTGGCCATGAATTTCACAATTAAATAGCTTTCACTTATATATTTTTATAAAGTTAATAATTTTTACTAAAATTAATTTGGTTTTGTTGAAATCAAATTAGATTAATTGAACTAAATTACATATATATAAATATATATATATATATATATATATATATATATATATATATATATATATATATATATATATATATTAAAAGTCATGGCAAGAATTGTAATCATGCCACGTGTCGTCATGATTTGATAAATAATGTGGGGTCATGTTATATTAAAAACGATCATCAATGTTTCCTCACAAAAAATTATGTTCATAAATTCTAAATTTTTAATTGAACTTATATACGAGGTATATACTTCAATATAATCTCATTCTTTCATTTACCCATCCATAATTCATATAGGTTTTACATATTTAAATTATGTAACACAAAAATACATAGCAATTTCAAAACCACAACATGTGTTTACCTTGAAGAAATTTTTGATGATAGATAAAAATTCCTTTAACAAATAAAACAAACTAATATGAAGTACAAAAGTTAGGTTACTGCATATTTCTTTATGAATTTTGATAATGTTTAATAATATTTACCAAATAATTTTTTTTTTAAATTTTAAAACCACCAATAAATTTCACTTTAATTTATTATAATTTTTTTATATACAAAAATGACTTGGGGCACCGCCCGGGCCTAAAACTAGTTTATGGGTTAAAACTTATGAACATTCTTGCATGGGAGTGCCATGTGTCCCTATAGATCCCTAAACTTTAGTCTATAATAATTTCACCTTATAGGTCCTTAACCTTTTATTTCTAATTTGGTTAATTCCAACTCATCAGAAAGTCCCTAAACTTTGCTTTTGAAATCATTAAATTTATGGAAAAATTGCCCTGATTAATCCCAATTTTGCCTCGTCCCCCAATAATAATCCCTACTTTTGATAATTTACTATCACTTCCAACTTTGTATGGGATTAATTTCTATTGCACCCAAATGACTTGGAACCGGTTGAAGAGGTAAATTTTGCTGACTTGTGATTAGTTGCACACGTGTCACAACCTGATTGGTTCAAAATTTTACAAAAAAAAAACAAAACAAAAAACAATAAATTAAAAAAAAAACCACACCCACCACCCTCGTCGGAACCCTAACCCCAACCCTCAATTCCACCGAAAACGGTCGGCCAACCTCCGAATTCCACCAAAAACCACCGACCATCCTCCACCACCCATCCCCGACCCTCGAAACCACCCACACAGTCGGTTTTCATGGCTGATTTTCGGGGAAGGGGGTGAAATCGAGGGTGGGGGAAGAGAAAGGGGTGGGTTTCAAGGGAAGGGGGAGGGCTGGGCGCCGTTTTCGGTAGCGGGGGAGGGGTTTTTAGGGGTGAGGGAAGGAAAGGGCTGGATTTTGAGGGATGGGAGGGTTGAGCGCCGTTTTCTGGCAGCGGGGGAGGGGTTTTCGGGGATGGGGTTGATTTTTCGGCGGGTGGGAGTAGGGGTGTGGTGTTTTCTGGGATAGGGGCGGGGGGTTGGGTGTGGTGGCAGCTGCTGGACATGGGTGGTTTTTGGGGTTTTTTTAATTAAAATTTTAAGCCAATTATAGGCTGACACGTGTCTGGTAACCTGTAATATTAAGTTGGATGACCGGTTGGGTGCAATAGAAATTAATATGGTATGAAATTGGGATTGATGGTGAATAATCAAAAGTAGGGATTATTATTGGTGGACGAGACAAAGTTAAGATTAATGGTAGCAATTTTTCCTAAATTTATTGCCACATGTACACTATTGTCCCTAAACTATGCTTAGTTAGCTAATTTGTACCTGAAAAGTGAGTCATTGGTGTATGAGGGACCATTTTGCATCATTTAAAAGTTGAGGGACTAAAATGCTACAAATAACAAAGTTCAGGGATTGTATTTTTACCTTAACTCCTATTAAGTGAGGCAATTTAGTCCCTCAACAACCAAGGAGTACTATTTTCCGCCAGATAGTTTAGGGATCTTGCCTAGTCATCAATAGTTTAAGGACCTGCAATGCATACTTGACAATAGTTAAGGGACTTTATCTGCTTAGTCATCAATATAGTTTAGGGACTTCCCTAAAAAATGCTTATGATTACATGAAAAAAGAGCCGACAAACTAAATCAGTTAATTGTTTAGGGATTTGCATTCAATGTATCAACATATTTGTACAACAAAGTATCCAAAAATCCGTTCTGTGAAAAAAAAAGTAGTTGTTACAAATTAAAATATTGTCGTATGTTCTTCAGATTGTTGTTGATCATCAAAAAAATCTATTGAGGGTGCATTAGAAACTCAAATACCAGGTACCTACACGAATAATTATACTCCCCTCATTTTTAAATACTTGCTCCATTTCTCCATACGCGGTGTTTTACGAGAAATTGGATAAAATAATAAAATATACAAATAGTTGGGTTAGTGAAAGGTAAATTGGAGGAGAGAAAATCTAAAAGTAATAAATTAAAATTGGGTCCCACTAGTTGAGAGAAATGAATTAAATATTATAAAAGCTTTTCAAATAAGAAATGAAGCAAGTATTTAAAAACAGACGCAAAAGAAAAGTGGAGCAAGTATTTAAAAAAGAAGGAAATATCAATTAGGAACCGTAATATAAATGACATGATTTTTTTTGAATTTATCAGTCTTTCTTTCTTTATTTTCTTTACAAGAACAGAATAGGATGTCTTATGTTAGAAGCAGCTTAATTATGTAATTATATTTGCATTCACAATTGACGGTGTCAACTAATTATGTAATGATTTAACAGTGTACTAATAAAAAGTCCTTAAAAAAATGTACTAATAAAAAATTAGATTATCTTATCTATTCTTTTTTCTTATCTCCAACTATTTTACCCTAGCTAGAT